CAGGAATTAAAACATGACTTCCTAAATGACTGACCATTATACAGAATTAAGTCATTTAATTAAAAATAAAATAAAACATTGAAATCAAGTGCAAAGATGGCTCCAGAAATGATGAGTGAGTAAGAGAAGATTGCTTTTTAGGAAACTTCATTTTGGCTGGAGAATCCCGTAAAGAGCACATTTAATTTAAATGACAATGTCGAGCACCTAGTCCTTTGAATGAACATTGTGCGTCATGTTCATGATAATTTGTTAAATTAAAAATCAGAAAATATATTTCGATAAAAAAATGAGAATAATACAAGGAGCAATAAATAAATAAATAAATAAGTAAGTAAACAATGTCACTCACCTTTTTCAACAAGCGTCAACAGTTTGCATCTCAAATTTGCGTTCTTTTCTGAGCGCAAGCTTCTGCAGCTAAGCAGGCACAGCGTGAGTTACTCTAGCTCTTAAATACCTGTAGCAATACCTGAGGTAAACATCTCATATTTTCTTCCGGGTTGGACATTGAAAAAGAAAATGGGACCGTCGCCAAACCCAAGGACATGGAAATGCCTATAGTCACCTTTGCGACAAATACCTGCATAATTAAGCTAAAAGTGGATCGATAGAATGAGATCAATCGACTAAACACACTCTATGGATGACATACTAATGGTGGCGTTATTTATCTCACGACATCTAGCGCGACAAAAATAGATTCTCTGGTGATTTACATGTAATTTACTAAACATACCCCAACTAAAAATAATGGAAACAACCCACCAAACGGGGAGGGGACAAATCAAATATTCGTGTTGCACATAATAATCATTAAATTGATAATAATATCAAGAGGCGGGTACGAGTGTGGCGATGCTTTTCTTTTTTCACATGTACCCATAAAACAATTTATGGTTGATTAAAAGCAAGGGTTATTCCGCTTTGGATGAATTTTTAAAGACAAAAGAAAAAAAAAACATTGTTTTAGATGTACGTTTTTAAACAGACTTAATTCCTATTTATGCTACCGGTAGGTCACGTTGCAGTTACACGTGTGCTTATGTCATACGCATAAGATGTTTGTTTAAGACCCAGCTGAATGTTATTTAGCAAGAAACCCCTTGGAGATGGGTCGCTCCAGCTAAATTGTTCTAGGTATTTGAATGGAGTCTTAAACAAACACCTTAATACCCCCTTACAGTTTGAGATGTCTGTCACGCCCAGTGAAGCTGTAATAGGGTCATTAACTATCGCTTAACCTGAATGCAGTTTAGTGGGATCCCCTTTGGAGATGGTTCGATCCTGCTAGATTGATATAGGTATGAGAATGAGGCCTTATATTTTGTCTCTAGAGGTAAAAGCTATATTCAACCGTTCTGGCGGCCCAATAAGTACGCACATTGTTGTCCTCGCACAAAGGGCAACTGGTTTAACCTTCCTTGTTCACAAATGGAAACAGCTCTATTCAGGTAATGTGGTATACTCGTTCAGAAATGAAATGTATTATGTTCAATAATACTGCAATACTACACTCATCCTATCTAAATACAAGATTTCTATGGCTTTTTACTTTGTTGCTGGGTTTAGTTTTTTCTAGGCTGAGGCATGTTATTCCAACAGCCTTGATATACCTGGGCCCCGAGCACAAGCATCTGGATTCCTTTACTCGCCCATACTCGCCCCATATAATACATTGTAGCCTCTATGTGATATCGCTACTCGCAATTAACCTTTTTCATCTTTTGCGGAAATACAAAGTGCGCATGACAGGAACCGCGCGCCACAGGGGTCATGGTGGTCCTCTGCTGTTTCCAGCATGGCAATGCTAGGTGAAGATGATGTACAAGGTGCGCATATAAAAAGGTCGTATGAAGCGTGCATTGCTTTCTGTCAAACTAAAAAGGTGGCTGAAGCGCAGAAATGCGTAAACTGTAGGCAAAAAACAGCTATTTGGACGGAGAATCAAGCAATTAAATATTTTCTTTCTCAGTTTAAATACGATGCGCTTTACAACTAGACTTCACCTAAGCGTCCGAGCCTTGGCTGTACTTTCAATAGTGATGACGAACTAAAGCTTCGGAGTTCTTTTAAATGCTTCCAATAATAAAGATATGCGAAAGAGATTTTTTTTTTGNCCGAATCAACGCAACAATAACCCGAAAACATGTTAAAATACAACAACGACACCAAAAGACGATATATACTATCAACAACGCAAAACTTAACTTAATTTTTTTTTTTCCGCTACGCAATCCTGAATATAACCTTTCTACGACTGCCACGTAACGAACAGCGCGTAGCTTTTCCCGAAAATTGCATTTTTCATGCACTAACGATCTCTTGCGTCTTTAAAACAGTAAGTAATCTGCCTAAACCTTCCATGTACCGTAATTACGTGAAATTTTGCGACTTACATACAAAATCGACTTAAAACTGGAGATCCCGTCTATTTCTCTCTTACTATCATAGAATTTTACTTAAAACCGGCAAGTCTCCCCTACTTTGCACTGAATTTGGAAAGTTTTTAATTAATCTTAACATGAATACCACGGCTCGAAAAACCGTGAAATACTAACAAAAGTTNCTGCTTCCAAACCTTTACTGTTAACATAGTTTTGGTGTATTTTGTTGGTTAATAAATGATAACCACGTAGGGAATTCATCTTCTTTTGTGTAGCTATCTTCAAAAATTTGAATTTATAAATGATCATGTAGTAATCAATTGCGTGTATCGCTTTTAGTTTGCTGCGATCGAGTAAATGTAAGTAAGCGGATAGCTGAATCGAATATGGCTTTCTGAGCCTCGACGCAAGTGACGTCACTCGCCTCAAAGCGCCACCACGCGGCAGTATCGTAAACTACATTCACACCTGCATAAAATCGGCTTTAAAAACTAAATAAACGTAAGAACTTTTTTTTCATTACTCAAAAATGACTTTTGGGCACGTAATGGATACTTTTAACCCGTTTTTTCATCACAGTATACCTTTAAAGGCAAATTGAAAGTGCGCCGTTCATAGTCGATCTGCCAAAAAGAAGGAATAAATGCAATATATCTGCCATGTATTTTGCAGATTCATGGAAGGCCATTAGTGTAGCAGAGTTTAGGGAAATAGTACAACAAGAACAAAAAATTAGAGAAAAGAGCATATTAGAGAAATACGTGGAGTTGGGATGGCAGGAGTACTGCGCTGATCTACGGGTTAGTGACGAGTACAAAAGGTACTACTATCGTCAATTCCTCCTCGGTCGTGGGGAACTGTGCATTAACGCAACGCCATCTCAAGAGACGCCGTCTGAAGACGCCAGACAAGCATACGATGCAGATATTGAAGAAGCTCGACAAGTGGCATTTCTTTTCCTGGCAGGGCCACTCGACGGAGATGATATAGAGAAAAGGAAATGCGAAATCCGAAATTTTCGGGAGTTGTACCCCGGGGCTTCCCAGTGCAGTGGAAACGTGGGCCAGGTAGTAATGGTGTACAACAAAAACGAACTTTTTAAAAAAGTCACCACGTACATTGAAGGACACCGTAAAAAAGGGCGTATTGTCATCTTGTTTGTAGGTCATGGGGGACCAGACGGGCAGATCACTCTGGCGGGAGAAAAATGTCCCCTGAAGGAGTACATTGACTGTGTTGACGAGGTGGCCAACAACCTTTACCCGCCTGTGCCTATCGATCTGATCAACGCCCAATGTTACGCCCATTTGGTGACCAAGTCTAGATGCCCGTCTACTAAAATAATACATCTGAGTAACGAGGATAGTCCCCAGACGCATTCTTGGTCATATAAGCTAGATGACCAAACTCTCGGTTGGCTAATAGTAGAACTACGGGACTACGCACGGACTGTTAGAGACAAACAAGTAAGTCTGAGAACACGTTATGTAGTGCAATATTTAATTATTTCAATGTAACGAGGACATGTAACTTGCAGAACACATGATTATGCATTAAGTTCTAAAATCGGCATGATCCATTCATTTTTTCTAAAGTTATGCTTTTTTAAAATTTTCAACATATATGCGATACAGACAACATATTTCAAGGAAAACCGGTAGGCCTATTATCTTTAAACTTACAGGAGTAATCAATGATATTAAAGTAGGTCAAGTTGGAATTTATGGCGTTTTTTTTTTTTTTTTTTTTTTTTGCTATAAATAGCCTGCTGCAACACAGGCAACGCATTTCAAGTCAAACCGATAGGTCTATTTACTTCAAACTTACAGTTATCAACGTTACTAAAATACAGGTCGAGTTTGAATATCAACTTGATCTGACTATTTTTCAACAGTTATGCTGTTTTTTTCAGCATATATATCACATTATATGAACTAAGATAAAATATTTCATGAAAACTAATATTCCTATAGTCTTCAAACTTACAAGAGTGATCAATATCAATATTGCTAAAATGCAATTTGCTAAAATCAGCATGATCAGATCATTATGTTGTTTATTCACCTTTTCCAGCATACATGCAATACAGATTGAAAAAATTAAGTGGAAAATTGTTTGACCGAATTTCTTCAAACTTGCAGAAATGATATTAAAATGTGTCCGATTTCGAAAAACAGCATGATTGGATTTTTTTTTTGTAAACCGAACTTTGGGTCAAGTAATATATTGTTTTCTCTGATCAGTGTTTAGTTGTCTTTTGTGGATTTCGTTTAGTTTCTCCCACGTAAGATTCAGAGCACTTGTCATCTTTACAGCTTACACCATAAACGACATTGAATGTCTTTTCCTTCACATGCACCAGTTTGGCACCCACCGAGTTGTAGGATTTAAAATAAACCGCCACCTCAGACTGTCCAGATTTGGCCTTAAGTCTTTCAGACAAACCTCTCACGTAAGGCACCTCAATGTTAACCCTCTTTTCCTCTGCTGTGGTGTGTGACTTTCTTATTTGCGGGTGAAATTCTGGCTCTTATGAAAGACCAATCAGAATATCCGCTATCTGCTAATGCAACCGCCACATAATCTATTNGAGGTAAAAATTGGCATCAATTTTTAATGATTCAATGGTGTCTATGAATGGCAGCCCACCCTCCCCCAAATGATTCTCTGATACACCCAGTAGCTGCGAGTATAATAACAGCTACTGGCTCCTTCTCCAAAATCGGAGCTAAGTGTATTGTTATAAAACAATTAAAAAGACCATTGCATGAGGTTTGACCCAAATTACCTCATAGTGTAAACAAGTCCCCTTATTTATTTGAGGTCGTTGGTGTGTCGACATTAACGGGACATTTTAAAGGCAAATTGAAAGTGCGCCGTTCATAGTCGATCTGCCAAAAAGAAGGAATAAATGCAATATATCTGCCATGTATTTTGCAGATTCATGGAAGGCCATTAGTGTAGCAGAGTTTAGGGAAATTGTACAACAAGAACAAAAAATTAGAGAAAAGGCCATTTTAGAGAAATACGTGGAGTTGGGATGGCAAGACTACTGCGCCAATCTACGGGTTAGTGACGAGGAAAGAAGGGACTACTATCGTCAGTTCCTCCTCGGTCTTGGGGAACTGTGCACTAACGTATTGCCATCTCGAGAATCTACTTTTGAAGAAGCCAGACAAGCGTGCAATGCAGATATTGAAGAAGCTAAACAGCTAGCATTTCTTTTCCTGGCAGCACCACTCGACGGACATGACAGGGAGAGAAGGCAGTGCGAAATTCGAAATTTTCGCGAGTTATACCCCGGGACTTCCCAGTGCGGTGGAAACGTAGGCTATGAAGTAATGGTGTACAATAAAGACGAACTTCTTGATCAAGTCACTTCATTCATTCAAGTACACCGTAAAAAGGGACGTATTGTCATCTTGTTTGTTGGCCATGGGGGACCTGACGGGCAAATCACTCTGGCGGAAGAAAAATGTCCCCTGAAGAAGTACATTGCCTGCGTTAGCGCGGTGGCCAAGAACCTCCATCCGGCCGTCCCTATCGATCTGATCAACGCCCAGTGTTACGCCCATTTGGTGCCCACGGCAGAACATCCATCTGTGAACATAATAAATCTAACTAACAGACGTAATCCCGTAACGCATTCTTGGCACTATTATGAGGTAGATTTCATCTCCCACTTACCAAATTGGCGCATAATAGAATTACAAAGTTTGGCAAAGGCTGCTAAAGACAAACAAGTAAGTTAGAGAACGATTTTATGTAGTTCATTAGTATTTAGTTTAAAGATTTAAGATACCACGCATCGGTAAGTCATTGCACCACCAGCGTAAGCGCTGACGGCACACATGTTTTTAGTCCAGACCCGTCTCGTATGCTGGCTCCACCGTTTGCTGCATTTTTGTAGAGCTTATCAAGCGCAACACTGGGGCTGGTTTTTTTATTTACATACGGTTTATGAAAAGGTATAACGTCATGAAGTTTAATGGCGAAAAAAATTAAGTACTCCAAAACTGGCAGAGATACGCCAATAGTTATTATTGAACGTGGGTAGGAAGTAATGTATTGGCATGCGACCTAGATCTTTGGCCTACTTTTCCCCCACGATTTTATGAGAAACTGTTATTATCTATAAAAAATATGGCGATTTTCAAAATACTACACAGACCTAAGCTTTCAGATTATTTGAGACGTTAAACGATTAGTATTATTTGATATACGTTTTGGGTCAATGGGTGCATTTTCATGGGATATACGCAGCCATTAGGTGCCAAAAATGAAAAATGATACAGAAGTGCAAAAGACTGCAAAGCAGGACTGGAAAACCCGGACTTGTTAAGGTATCCTTAGGCAGCATAGAAGAGAAAATACTAGTATGTATTAAGACGGAAGCATAATATAAGAAATAGTACAGAACAGATGCAAGAATGTGAAAAGTACGTATACATGCCAGTAAATCCCACTTCGAGAGAGTTCTTGACAAAAACATGGAATTCTTGTTACAATATGTGCCAGAGGGACATAGGTTCTATATCACCAACCATTGGCTCATTAAAGAAAAATCTGCTGAGAGTATTCGTCTAGATTCGTCAAGTTTAGTGAACAGAACGATGGGTAATTCACAGCCCCCAGCCAATGAAATGCAGAAGCCAAAAATAAATCCCCATATGTTCCCACCATTACACGTTGGGATCCGTCACATGGGGGCTATTGGAATGTTCAATACCCATGGACCCAACAAAAGACCAAGACAAGTGATCCCAGCAGCATATCAAAACCCACAGTCAAACGCAATGCCATCCTAGGACTCACAGCCCTTCAAGGAAGAAATTTAGAATGAACCTAATTATGATTAAAAAATTGCTTCCTTAAATGTATGTGGTTGGAATAAAAATAATTGCATCCTAAAAATAATTAGGCACATAGAAAATGATACTGTTTGTGTAAAAGAAACTCATCAAGACATAGGCAGTTACCTCAGATTTGAATGTTTTCAGTATATTTCTAATTGTAGAAAAAAATTAAACACCAAAAAGCTTCACACTAGTTTGGGGGAGTAGGTATTTTTTATAAAAAATGAAATTTGTGACATTTCTAATATCTCTGAAATAGACAAATGTTATGAAGGTATCCTTAATATAAAGCTTGCTCATAGTTACAGAAAGAGAAATTCTCATCATAAACACAGACCTGCCACCTTAAAATTCACCCTATGGCAGGGACTATGTATCATTCTTTTCACATGTATTACTACAAGTGTACATGTATTTGGAGATAGATGGAATGAAAATTTGTGGAAATCTGAATTGTGAAGTAGAAAATCTTAAGGATTTCTGCACTGATATTGATGAGGTGATAGACAGGGTTATCACAGATGAAACTATAAATAACCATGGACAAAATTTTATTGAATTTTTGATGGAAAATAAAATGTGTTTTGTGAATGATATGACAACAGGTACAAATGATTTTACAAAGTGAAAGGGGGAAAGTCAGTTGTAGATTATTTTATAGCCCAACATGCTACTCTCAACAGTGCTGTAAAATTTAACGTATCTCAAATGACACAGATTATTGATGATTTTGATCTGCATGGTTGTTTAAGTGGCACCTGTAAACCCCCTGATCATGCTCTCCTAGAAATTGTTTTGAAAATAGTAGATCCAATATGTGATAAAAAATTAAAAGACAATAGTACCTTCCAAGCTGATTTAAGCATATAAATTAGAATGCAGACCAAGCAGTATGTTTACTGGTAATTATGCAAATCAGGCTTTAAATAATCTTATTAACCGGATTACAACACTGAGAGAAAACCAATATGAGATGGATAAGTTATATGATAATGTGTTAAAGGAATTAATAGCAGAAATTAGCAAATAAATCCGTTATAAAGACATACACATATCTAAAAGACCTATTAAACTTTTTAAAAAATCATTTTGGAACGAAGAACTTAAAACTTTGTGGGATACAATGGTCATGCATGAAAGGGCATATAAGGGAAATAAATCGAAAGACAGGAAAACTCGTGAAAGTTTATATGACAAATTAAAAACCCATAGAGACCTTTTTGATAAAAAACTGCGTTTTTATAAAAAAAATATACGAAGGGACTTTCTGAAAACATTTGGATTGCTAATGTTAACATTAGCAATCCAAATGTTTTTGGGAAGTATATAAAGAATCTTGGACCAAAACAAAGTAAAAAAAAAAAAAAAAAAATCCAAGAAAAAGTAATTGGTAAAGAAGGCTGTGTTAAAACAGAAATTAATAGTGTTCTGTATGCATGGAAATCTGAATTTGAAAAACTTATTTAATAACCTAAACCATCCAATATTAGATAATTATTTTCAAAAACAAAATTTAAAGGAAAAAGAGCACTTAAAAAGAAATATGCAAGACACCTTGTATGAAGAAAATAACCCTCCGAATAAAAGTATAATTTTAGATGAAGTTAGAATGGTAATTAACAAAACAAAAAAATAAGAAAGCAACAGGGATTGACAATATACCAAATGAAATTCTTAAATATGAACAAGTAATGAGAGCGTTTGTAGACTCTTCAATGTATGTTTTGATACTATTTTATCCCTTCCTTATGGGAAAAGGCAATTATCTCACCAATTCCAAAAGATAAAAATCTCGATTCTAGAAACCCACAAAACTGCAGGGGAATTAGCCTTCTTAGTTCTATTTCAAAAGTATTTTCATCAATTCTTAACAAAAGAATCCTATCAAATTTAGAAGATAGCAATTTTTTCGTAGATGAACAAAATGGGTTTAGACCAAAAAGATCATGCCTACAACACATTTTCAGCCTAACAAGTATAATCAGAAACAGAAGAAATAAAGGGCTTGATACGTATTGTTGTTATATAGACCTACAAAAAGCGTTTGAGTTTATTGATATAGATTTACTCATGTATAAATTAATTAAGGCACACATTGATGGAAAATTTATCATGTCAATAGTAGCTTATATGGTAACAGAATCATGTATAAGATTAAATTCGAAGCTGTCACCATGGTTCACCACCACCAGTGGAGTTAGACAAGGGGATAGTTTTTGCAATCGATGTAAATTATCGAATCTCTGAGCTAAATAAGTATAAAGGGGGAATCAATATAAATGGGAGTTTGAATCTAACAGGTCTCCTTTATGCTGATGGTCTGGTAATAATATCTGAAAGCACAGAAAAATTGAGCAGCAGCCTGGAAGTGGGGGACCAGTGGTGTAGCAAATGGGGAATGCTAATTAACTAGAAGACAAAATGTGCACTATAGGCCCTGGCATAAATAATGTGCTGCAGATCTTTTTTATTTTGGAGGTCACTATATATAATGGGTTGATAAGTATAAATATTTGGGGTTTATGCCGAAGAATTTTTAGATTTCCAATATAATACTAAATTTCTGTCTGAATCAGCAACTAGAGCACTGGGTTAAATTATAGCAAAATCAAAAAAGGATGGTCAAATGGGATACCAAAAATTGATTAACAGTTGTGTGACTCCATTTAAGAATATGGCTCGGGGGTTTGAAAGTATTGAAAAAAGAATTAGAAGATGCGTCATTTCTTACTTCGGTGCACTGCTTACACAGAGAAAAGATATAAATTTTATAAAAACTTGGAGATAAAAAAATATACAAATGACATTTCTATAGAAGACTTAATGAAAAAATTTGAGGCAATTAGCAAAACTGATTGCTAAGATTTTAATTTAAGAGAGGAAAAATTGTATACAACAGTTGTCTAATAAGCCTAAAGGGCTGGGTGTTCTATACACATGACGCGTTAATAAATAATGATGATGAAAACCCTCTCTAATTTATAGAACCGAGACCACTTGTTTGTTACATTCTGTAGAGCGTGCAGGGCCGTAGCCTGAGCAAAATGCCAGGGGGGGGGGCAGTAAGCGGACACGAGGGGGCAAAGCCTCCGAGGGGGGAGGGGGTGTCCCCTTACCAGTGTGGAAAATTCTAAATCCCAGGGGGGTGGGGGGGCAGCTGCCCCCCCTGCCCCCCGGAGGCTACGGCCCTGGCGTGTCAAGTGCAACATGGAATAAATTTGAAATAAATTTAGTCTTGTTTTTATATAGTATCATAAAAACAAGATGACATATAGAAATATATCTTAAAGATATAGTTAAGACAAATTTTCAAATGGAAAAGATAACATTGTAAAGGACCACATTGTAGTAATTCCGCAAAAGTCACAAATAAAGAGTGTAAAACTAAGTAATAAACAATTATACAAACAAGTTTATTTATAAAGATAATGGATTAAAACATCTACCGTTCTTAAATATTTGTAAGTGACCAGTAATTACATAAAATTTTAACATATGCTAGATAATGAACCGTAGGCCCATATGTATTTATGGTAATTTGACAAAGTTTTTGAATAATATAAAACTATTAATGTATATATTTGTTCTATGGTGAACAAAACTTTGGAAAATCAAACTTTTATTTGTAAAAATAGTTTCATCCATCTTCGTTTTGATAGTCAGAAAGTTTTCATTTATGGTGGATCCACATATTTGATCTACCTGATGACTGTTTCGTCCGTTCATTCTGACATACTTGGTCACAACTGAATTACCTGTTCAGGTGAAGGTGAACAGGTATTTTAAGTCTGTCAGAGTGAACAGAAGAAAAATAGTCAACAGGTAAATCAAAATTTCAGGGTCTATCATAAATGAAAATGTTCTGACTATCAAGCTTTTATTGTTAACGATATAACAAATCCATGGCAGTGTGATTATATGGCAAATGGCGGCCATGTTTGGATTTTTCAAAAAGGTCCAAAAAAAATGCACTAGAAACTAAGCAGATATATACATGTATCATAGGTGTAATAACGATGTGGAAAGCAATGAGAATAAAACTAACCTGGAAAAGAAACACTTTTCCCAGGCATGTATTCTTGTAGTTAAAATCCATAAATTTGTTAGGAAAATGTCAGCCATCTTTTATTTTCTCAAATGCCAAAGGATACACAATTTGAGAGGCAATCTAAATTTGATGAAGGGCATTTTATTCCCCTTGTTGTAACTGTTACCCACACATAACATCTTATATTTTTTCACATTCCCGAAACTGGGATTTTTAGGACTTTTATTGGTAGTATGTATTTTAGGGGACTTCATAGAAAAGCACTGTTGCAAAATAGAAACTGTTGTAATTGTTTTCCAATCAAACTATAGTGTATTCTAGAGTAGTCAAGGTATTCAACCAATATTATGTAGTAGTATATCGCAAGAGGATGGTAGTGTGTTATTTGACACATACCAGTACACAGTACACAGTACTTGTACCGTGAGGGAATACTCGCATAACACCGTAAAAAAACACCCCTAAAACCGAAGAAAGCGTATATCGCCACGGTCACATAACATATCTTGGTATGTATTTGATTGATGCATAACTGGCATACAGATGAGGGTAAAATACAGACCACACTGTTATTGATTGTGCTAGCTTGATCTCCTCTTGCAGTGGGTGGAAGTACTCGATAGTACCCCTGTACATGCACATGTATTATATGGGGTGTTTTTAAACTCCAAAAGCTGCATCAGTCTCGGCCGAGTATTTTTATACCTACGAAATTAACACTTATTTTAAAATTCCCATGAGAGTTAAGCCAGCGGGATTGAACTAATGGCTCATGCTTGACAGGGCCAATGGAAAAATTCCCAAACAAAGCCTTTGCAATGTTGCCATAAATAGGGTGGATAGCGATACAGTCCACCGTCAAAATGTATTCATTTGTTCCTTGGCCCACTATCGGCATGTAACGTTTCTTAAACTTTTATTCAAACCCGTCCATAAGTTAGTGTTAGCTGTTTCTAACGGACAGACTTACAGACAATCTTCTTCGGCAAACACTTATAAAACCAATGCAATATAAAATTGTCAAAAACGAATCTTTGTGCCTTTTCTAAATTAATTAATGAAGATGATATATGACTTTCGATTCTTTTTGAAAACTGAATACACTTTACATCTCTCTCTCTCTCTCTTTCTCCAGTTGCTACAGTGTTATAAAGGACTATTGATATAAACGAAATACGACCACGATTGAATGATTCATCGTTGTACCTTCTAATACGATACTTCTAATTCTTTTTTCTCAAGAATAAAGATGCCGGTAAAACGTTTATTACTCCGCTGCCGCCGACTGAGGAGACGACACAGCCCACGCAAAGAGGCTTTTCTCCCGCACTGTTTCCAGACCCTATTGACGAACGCTTCAAGTGTAAAACCTGCAAGTTGGTGCTGCGAGATGCGATGCAAACCCCTTGTGGACACAGACACTGTATGACGTGTCTAGATGACTTCATCAGGTAACAAGAAGTATTTTTATGTCTGACTGTCTGCCAGTTTATGGCCTATGTTTATGTATCCATATGAAGTCCATATGCATGTCAACTTTTCTGTCACGACGTCTATCGGCTTGTGTGTCACTGTGTTATTCAGCTTGTCTGTCTGCCGTGTGTAGAGGGGTGTCTTTGTGAGTAAGCATGTCACCCCCCCCCCCCTCGCTCCGACTGTCAGTTTGCCCCTCTGTCTGCTAATCTGTTCATTGTTTTAGATCCAGTGATGGTCGACTTTGTCCGGCCTGTCCAGAAGGCGCAGAAGGCGGGGAAAGTCAGGTACACTTCCGCTTCTACTGAACGGCTTAGATTAGTGCAATCACAAACTTTCATGTGTGCAAATGGGCAGTTATCGACCATTTTTTTTTGTAGAAGCATTAAATGAATCCAAACAAATACTAGCATTTTTTTAATTGAAACCAGCAATAATACAAAATTCGACAAAGTTTTGGCAACGTTTAGTTTGATGTTTGCACATTACTAGGATAAAACAGTTAGATATGATGCTCTTCAGCGCGGAATTAAATTCCATTAGGTCAAGGTTGCATTTGCAATATGGATTTACCTCATATGGATTTATCACATATAAGCAAACGTAGGGTAACTACTATAGAGAAGCGTATATACAGTATATTCTCTAATTTTCGCCTCAATGATTACATGATTTATCACATAACCCGCACGAAAATGCAATAGTATCGAAGTAGCAAAGAAGTAGAGCCAACTGTAATTCTACTCCAAAAGGTGCTTAGGTTTGTACAGAGAGGAGCATTAATGCAGTAGATTAGCAGCACGATAGAAGCATGTTTCAAATATGCTAATTAGCTCCCAAATCGAAGCAGATTTGAGACATGTTTGCAGTATGATTGCAGTAGTCTACTGCGCTGGAGTATCTACTGCGTTTTCGTGCGGGAATTGTCTCGTGAGTCAGGTATTTCTGGTGCACTTTGTGACTTTTGAGTCCTTTTAGTTAAATTTCGATTGTTTATGTTTTAGATATTTCGGGACAATGCTATGAGACTTGAAATGCATTCACTGAAGATAATTTGTGACCAAGGCTGTGGATGGGAGGGGTCATTGCAAGACTACCAGGAGGTTGGTGTCCTCTCATTATCTAAGGATTTTGATCTTAACGTATGGTATAGAGCTTTTTATAGTGCTTCTACACGTACCGAAAATCACTCAAAACCTCATGATTCCCGATCTGAGATCCGATTCGCGATATGTTAGCACTTTGCTCATGTCTCAGGGACTTTTTGACATTCGTCTTGTTCTGACAATTTCACTAGTCTACGCCTCATGGTCTGAAGAAAATTTTGTGTCAATTGTCATGCCTATTGTTTCTCAATCATGGATTTGGCAGCTTTAGCCTGTTTTCTTCTGGAAGTATATAGCAAAACACGGTCAGTTTTAGAATTAGTTGAGCGGGATCAGCCCACTGATTCACCAGTACTGGCAGTAAAAACAACTCTTCTCCAAAAAATTGTCAATATCTGTTTATTATTTTTTTTTTATTTTTCTGCAGATTCATGAAAATTCATGTCGTACAATACAATCCACCATCCCCGATGCCGAGCTCAGAGAGCGGTCGGACAGAGGCGCAGAGGGGCACGAACAAACAATTTCCCAAGAAGATGTTTCAAGACAGCCGGGTGTAGAAGAGCAAATACATGTACCTGAATATTTTGACCAAGAAGAGGAAAAGCTTATCACAAATTTTCAGCGAATGGAAATCTCAGCAGTAGAAGTACATGACAACTAGAGCGGTGTTTTGAATTGGAAGATCACGAACTTTGTTGTCAAACGCCAGCATTCCCTTAGCGGTCGTCTCACCAGCCTTGCCTCGCCCCCGTTATATACCATTCCCCAAGGGTACAAAATGTGCTGACGTTTCTTCTTGAATGGTTCCGGCATTGGAAACTGTTCTCACATCAGCATATATTTTGTACTAATGCCCGGCCAGTTTGATGATCAACTCCGTTGGCCATTCCGTTAGTGAACCAGAAGGGCACAGATCCGGCCGACATCACTAAATAAGTTATACCCGACCCAACAAGTTCAACGCAGCCGATACAATCAATTCATTTTGTTATAATTCACTGGTATCGATCTTTTTGTAATTATGTGGATTTATGTATTATCTGCATATCGCGTTTATTGCACATATTGCTTTTCGTTACCCCACTTAGATAAGACATGTACAGTCCATATATATGCATTGTGCTACAATTACACAAAATATTTAGAAGTATGACTCCTTGATCTGCCGTCAACTTCTGTTTCAAGTCTATTCTTTGCCCTGCTGCAGTATTATTCAGGGTGATAACTGTACATATCAGGGGCGGATCCAGGGTTATTTGAAGTGTGTGTGGTGGTGGTGGGGGGGGGGGGGGGTAAGCGATTGCCCCCACTGAAGGCCCCCGAAAACTTTGGTAATTTAGAGGTGAACGGTGACATTATGTACGGTTTAGAACTGGTTAAAATTCTAATTTCAAGAGGAGACCATTGGTATGATTTTTTTCAGAAATTGAAAAGAGGGGGGATAATGACCCCCCTGACAACCTCCTAAATCCACCTCTTCGTACTCTAACGGACTTTGTATCAACATATGTAAAAATACTTTTATGTAATTTTAAAACTTTTATGCAAATAATGAATTGTTTTGCCTTCACTTTAATGTGAACATTCTTTACTTTGCTGGAATGCAATTCGGGGATAATAGCATATTTTATTTATAACTGTACATATGTTACAAACTTTATCGAAATCTGTAGAGATGTGTTTTCTAGATTTATAATGTTTTACTAGTTTATAATGTTTTTAATTAGCCAATGAATTGTTTTGCCTTCACTTTGATGTGAACATCTTTGTTTGAGCTCCCATGTCATCCAGGGGTTATGACAATTGTATGTATAATTTTACAATCTAATTTACCTGAATTACTTAACCTGTAATTATAACTTCCTTTATTTTGATAAGAAAATGATTGTACTAACATATCAATCGATATACGGGATATATTCGATATACTGGATATATTCGTTTAGTTTTTTCTATACGTATTGGTGTCACAAAGACTGTTACAGCATCCAAAAGCGAGTCATAAAAAAGGGATTTTATGTAGCTCACGTTGGGATGGCAGGTATAAAAACAGTCAAAGGACAATCACAATGCGTTTTGATGTTCCCAGTACGTTACGACACGCCCCCTTTAGGCCCGTGAATTTAATCAAAATTACTGTTCTGACCATGAAATTTTGCTATCACAGGTAATTCAACTGTTTGAAGGCTATCTGATTTAATAACTGTTAGGTTATGACTAGGACCTATAGTTATCCCTAGTTAAGAAACGATTATTGCGAAATTATAGGCCTAATTCAAACGACATTTGTTTATCCATGCATCCTCCACTTTTGACTATCTTCCGACAGAAAAAAATTAGATGCCAGTCATTGTAAACGTAAAAAATTGACTGTCTTCTGGAAGACACGTCAGTGGTGCATTCCGAAATATTCAGGAAGACATGGCTTCCTAAATGACTGACCGGTTGTACAGAATTAAGTCATTTAATTAAAAATAAAATAAAACGTTGAAATCAATACAAGTGCAGAGATAGATCGAGAAATGTTGGGAGAATATGATATTACTTTTTAGCTATAGGAAACTTAAAGAGTACGTTTAATTTAAATGACACTGACAAGCACCAAGTCCTTTGAATGACCATTTTGCGTCATGTTCATGATAATTTGTTAAATTAATGATCAGAAACTATATTTCAAGTAAAAATGAGAATAATACAAGAAGCAATAGAATAAACAAATAAAGAAAGAAAGAAAGAAATAATGTCAGCCACCTTTTTCAACAAGCATCAACAGTTTACATCTCAAAATTGCGTTGTTTTTTTTCTGAGCGCAAGCTTCTGTAGCTAAGCAGGCACGGCGTGAGTTACTCTGCTTTTAAATACCTATAGCAATACCGAAGGTAAACGTCTCATATTTTCTTCCGGGTTGGATATTGAAAAAGAAAATAGGGCCGTCGCCAAATCTAAGGGTCTAAAATCACCTATGAGGCAAATGTCTTGTAAATTAAGCTGAAAGAGGATCAATGGAATGACACACATCGACTCAAGTTCCAAATAACGCCTTTTTTCTCCAAACGAAAACATATTAACAAGTTTAATAAAAGATTGCTTTAAACATTTATATTGTTCACACCCCATGGATTATGTACATATGGTGACAATTTTTATCTCATGCCTTTTAATGCAAAAAAAAAAAAAAAAAAAAAAAGAAAAAAAAAATCTATGATGATGAGATGTACGAAACGTACCCAAACAAAAATTCGTGGAAACAACCTACCCTCTAACACCAGGGCTCCACTAAAATACTATACAAAATCACACTTTCAGCATTTGTGTAACAGACTACTTGTGCATACTGTGGCCAGGAAGTAGGAATGAAATCCTATCACACAACACGGAACAGCGCCGGAGGGGGAAGAGACAAATCACTCCAAACACCGCTTCAAATATGCGGGTCGCACAAAGTAATAATCAATTTAATAATTATATCAAAGGCGAGATCAGGAGTGTGGATGTGCTCCTTCTTCACACATACCCTGGGTGAGAGATATCAAGTGAGCATTGATAAAGGTGTTTACAGTAGCAAACGAGTCATGATGTGATCATCAAGTGGTTCTTTTCTCTCCGTTTGACAAGGAGTTGCCCAATTCCTTGTTTCTCGAATGGGGCAGGTTCGACGCACTCTGATCGGCCTGGGATTCCTGTGCTTTTGAAATTAATTATTTAATGAAATAATCCTTAGTATGACAACAAAATATTTGTATGGTCAACACCTTGATCTTCACATATACCGCGCAATGTAAAACATTGTTAAACAGTTACACATAGGGCAATGTATCTATAATATTTATAGTTGCTATATGAAAGGAGAGGAAGAAGAAATTATTTGCTCGGTTCATTAATGGTAGGTGTTGGTGGCGAGAGCGGGAGTCACCCTGTGTTGCTCGAGCAGGAACACCTTGACGACCGAGCAGCACGATAAAATGGTAAAGTACTGAGATGGATACTTGAGCGAGGTTGGCAATTATTGAAGGTGGGGTCAATAAAGATGTTTAGCGGAGTAACAGATGACGTAGTTATAGGAAATAAAGATGCTGAAGTACAGAGTGTGTTGTTGGGTAAAAATAAAGTTTCTTACCTTCTGTCGATCGGGTGTTGTAGCGTATTATATTGAGGCGATAATCTTGCATTCTATCTGTGACTCTGTGGTCCGGTTGCTTGGAATGATCTTAATGCTGGACACATACTGTGGACGCGTTGTAATCAAGTATTAAGAAGTTGACCCGCGATCGGTCAGGAATACCCTGAGTGTTGTAATGATTGCGCGCAGCGAGCTGATAGGCGTCGGTATGTCTGGCGACCACATTTGTGTTACGGCTCTAACGATGGAGATTCCCAAAATATATGGCACTATAAATGAAATTATAGCCTTCACCAATAATTTAGTATTTACAGTTGCTATATGAAAGGTGAGGACGAAATTATTTGCTCGGTTCAATAATGGTAGGTGTTGGTGGCGAGAGCGGGAGTCACCCTGTGTTTCTCGAGCAGGAACACCTTGACGACCGAGCGGCACGATAAAATGGTAAAATACTGAGATGGATACTTGAGCGAGGTTGGCAATATTGAAGGCGGGGTTAATAAAGACGCCATGGAAGGACGCATATATGGACGACCCCCCCCCCCCAAGCCTGACCTTTCGCAGAAAGAAAATAAACAAAACACATGATTTATCTTTCAGCTAAGACCTTTGTTAAATCAAATAATGCATTAGTTCATATAAAAGAACGATATCCGAGACAAGAAATGATACATTTAGCTCATATTCAAAAATGAAATATGAAAGAGAGAAGTATGTGATCTTCCAAATTTAAACACCGCTTCCGTCGTGAACTCTTTCCAATGTTGAAAGTGTGTCTCATTTAAAAGATCTGCTCAGCCATTTCTCTTCTTGCTGTGGAAATACTGATACTCTTCCAACTGCAAATAACTTCTGACGATCTGGCGGTTCAAAAAAGGTCTTGTGAAACATCTTTGTTCACTCCTATTTGCACCTCTGTCCAACCGCGCTCTGGGCTCGGCATCAGGAATGTTGGATTATCGTAAACGACATGACTTCTCATGATACTGTAAAGAAATAAACAGAATATACAACTTACAGAAGTTTACAGAGAAGAATTGTCTATCTTAGTGAATTAACGGGTCAATCCTGCTCAACTTGTGCTAACACTGACTGTATTTTCGTTAACATTCCCAGTCTCATTTTTCCAGCCTCATTGTTCTTGTCATAGTCACTACTGGTGAATATACAGGTCGATCCGGCTGAACGTAAGATAGACTGCGATTTGCTTTACGTTTCCAGAGGGGAAACTGGTCAAATCTGCTAAATCTATAGTTACAAAATTATAAACCCGAAAGTTAATTTGAAATTGTCTCCAGACCTTGAGACGTAAACTGCTGAAAATGGTTAGAAATGGTTGGAAAGACGTAGAAAAGATCCACGATTGAGACAAAGTGATAACAGATCACGATAAGCGCAACTTTTTTTTTTTCTTGGGGGGGGGGGGGGGGGGGCATTGAAAGCGCTATACAACACGTAAAGTAAAAATCCTTAGATAATAAGAGGACACCAACCTCCTGGTAGTCATGCAAGCACCCCGTCCATACACACCCATCTTGGTCACAAACTATCTTCAGTGAATGCACTTTGATTCTCACTCTATTATCCGGATATATCTGTAACATTTGGACAAAACAGACAAAA